CTTTGTTTGAAAGTATGAGGTAGACTTTATTCATACAAGCTTGGCTGCTCTTTCTCTCTAGTAACATGGGAGGAAACATTCTGCTATTCAGACTCTCCTTTTAAATCGCTGCACAGCCTGATGGCAGAAAAGCCCAAAAGGTAACCCCCAGATGGTGAACTTCTGAAACTTAATGGTAACATCCCTTCTATATCACAAATACATGGTAAATATTTGAAATCTGTTTAAAGTAGTAGATTGTGGTATTGCACACAGTTCATCTGTAAAGTACACACACAATTCTCAGTATCAGGGTCTAAAAGACAGTACATTTCCCAGGTTGCAGACCATATAACAGGCTAATCTACTCAAGAACTATGCAAGTAAGGATCTGTATCTAGCATACAAATTATCCTACCAGCTAGCTTAGTATCTGTCTTCTGGTAGTACCCACTAAGGGTACGTCTACACTTACCGGAGGGTCCGGCGGCAGGCAATCGATGTTCTGGGGTCGATTTATTGCGTCCGGTTTAGATGCGATAAATCGATCCCGGAAGTGCTCGCCGTCGACGCCGGTACTCCAGCTCGGCGAGAGGAGTACGCGGCATCGACGGGGGAGCCTCCCTGCCGCGTCTGGACCCGCAGTAAGTTCGGACTAAGGTACTTTGAATTCAGCTACGTTATTAACGTAGCTGAATTTGCGTACCTTAGTCCAAAGTGGGGGCTTAGTGGGGACCAGGCCCAAGTGATGCTTCAGAGAAAGATTTACAACATTCCTTATGCTCTTGGGATCTAACCTATGTTGAATCAGAAGGTACTGGGACAGGTTACTGCCTGAGTGGCATCAGTGCCTAAGCCTCATTCTTTGATGGGAATTTAGGCATCCACATATCTTACTTTTCCTAATTATAAATGTGATTCCTAGACAAATTATCTAGACCTCTTAAATCTAGCATCTGTTCTGATGAACTGTGGCACTGTAGGCCACAGATTGCAAATATGTTGCATAAAAGATTTAATTTAGTCAATAAACCCAGCACCAATAATTTAATCAAGAATCTGCTTGTTCTCCGACAGCAGAAAGAGGTGCAGCTGATTAATTTTCACTACACTTCATAATTTTGAATACATCAATCATGTCTAATGTAAATATTCTTTTCCACATGTAATCTTTGCACACTCATGTCTTCACACACAAATTCATGCAGTCATCCTCTGCCAAATCTATTCAATATTTGGTGTTTCTTGAAGAGAGATGAACAAAGTTGAAGGCAAGACTCCAGTTAGAGAAGTACCATGGTCTGCTAGATCAGCTTCGTAGCAGCGACTCTTAAAAGATCTCATCTCACTTCTGCCGCTGGCCTGCTCCCTTCATTCCACACTTTCAGCAGTGGATCCTCCAGGTTCAAAGCCGGCCAATGTAGATAATTTCCAGTTATTTTTATAGCTGCCTATTGTAGACATGACACTTCAACACCTTGTGCTATATACTGTGTTTTAAACAGCTGGTGTCTCTTTTTAATCCTTAAAAGAAAACTCCACTAACATTTACTGTGTTGGCGCCACAGGCTCTACTTCAACTCAGTATCCACTTCTCCTACTCTAATGAAACTTCCACACCAAGTTCTAAGACCTTCTCCCTACTAACTCCTCAGCATGAAAACCAGTTCTTTACTTTAACTGCTTGTTGCTCATAGTCTTTTAATTAACATCAGAAATGTTTCCCCATAGTTGTTTTTTCTTAAGTTTGAGGGATTTCTAGTTTAAAAAAAACAAACAAAAATGTCTGATGCTGCATTGACAGGGAGATGGACTGGATGCCCTAAATGAACTTGTATTACATTAAGGCTTAGTTTTCCTTTCTAGAAACTTCAGTTGATCATATTAGATTCAGTGATTGGCTCTACTAGTCTATCCTTAAACATACATTGCATGAACTGTAAGTAGCGGGATTCCTCTTTACTGACTCTTGCAGAGAGAAGCCCTGTTCCCTGTTTTGGAGTTGATGACTTGAAAAATATTATCCATGTTCGTATAAGTACCTCAGCTACTTCATACCTGTTTTTGCTTTTTAGAAGTTGGCAATATCCTCCAGTTCTGTAGACTTACAGCTCTTAACTTCCTCCTTTGGTATTTCTGTCTTTGTTTAAAACTACACTAATCTCCCATCAGAATTCCTTTCAAAACTATTATTTATAGTGTCTAGAGGTCTGCTAGACATTATATAGACATTAGATATCTACACCTCTAACCTGATATAACGTGACCCGATATAACATGAATTTGGATACAACGTGGTAAAGCAGTGCTCCGGGGGGGTGGGGCTGCGCACTCCGGCGGAGCAAAGCAAGTGCGATATAACACGGTTTCACTTATAACGCGGTATGATTTTTTTGGCTCCTGAGAACAGCATTATATCGGGGTAGAGGTGTATATAGGTCTTGGATAAAGCCCCCAGCACACAATGCTTCTGCTGCATCACTTCTGGTTGAGTGTTGTGCAGAAGAATATTACTGCTAGTCATGGACAATGAGCAAGAGACAGGGGCAGCTTCCTCAGCAGATCTTGGCTTAATTCTTTCATCACACCACTACCACCCTTCCATGGCAATCTTGTGATTATATTAGAGTTGTCATACTGAATTAGACATGTAGTCCATTTACTCCAGTATCTTGTCTGACAGTGGCCAGTGCCAGAAACCCCATATATAACATTATGGAATAACCTGTTGAGAGGGGAAGTTTCTTCCCAATCAATCAGCTAGAGATTGGTTTATGAGCTGAAGCATGAGGGTCTTATACTCTTTCTAAAATGTATTTTATCCTACCTAGAGTAAGCAGTTCTTTTAATTAGCTGTATAGTCCTTCAAAATCTGCCTGTGTTCTTGGGAGTATCTTGTGCTAATGAGTTCCACAGAACTTGTTGATCAATTTCACTAGATGGCATCTTGTTCTTATATGATGCGGATAAACAAGCTTCTATTTTACCTTCTGTATATCTTCTATAATGTCCCCTTTCCAGACAGTCCACATCACTTCCGTCTACACATAAATAATTCATCCTTATCCCTGTAATCACTTCCATTGCTCTTCTTGGAACACATTCTGCACTGTCATTCCTGAGCTAGTGTGCCCAGAGCTGAACATGGTGTTACAGATGAGGGTGTACCATTGTCTTATATGATATGTTCAGGAGGTATAAGGAGTTTGATAGAATATTACCAAGGCTGTCAATTAATTGCTGTTAACATGTGATTAACTCAAAGTAAATTAAAGCATTTTTTTGATGCATGCTAATTGCATAACTCTGAGATGAGGCTTGGTGGCTGGGAGACAAGGCCAGTCTTAAGGATGGATGTGGGGGGGCACTGACCAAAGTGCCATGCACAGGGGGGCAGTGCTGCATGCATCTGGTGCCCCGGTGAGCCAGGACTGGCCAGAGGGCTGTAGCAAGATGCAGCCCAGGTGCGACAGCACAGAGTCCGCCTTGAGCTGCAGGTTGAGTGCCAGGCACCACGAGCTGCAGCAGCAGCCCAGAAATAAGGAACACCCAAAAATATTTAAATAAATGGTATTCTATTATTAACAGTGCAATTAAAACTCTGATCATGACTTTTTAAATTTTGCAATTAATCACGCTTTCTAATCATTTGACAGCCTAAAAATTTCTAATATTTTGTTTGTTTTTCTTTGCTACTGATCGCAGTTAGTTTAGAACTTGGTGATGTATACATGTATTCAAATCATTCCTCCCATTGTGCATTTGTCAACATAAATAGTGGTTGGTGGGGGCAGTTTAATGACATATCAAAGGAAAGTCAAGCCCACGTTTCTCAGACAGGAATTACCCTAGTACCTCCAGTCATGTATCCAGCAATTAATTACAGCAGCACTACACTATTTAGTGCTTCTCTTTAGATATGAAGGGATATTACACAGTGACACTGTATGGGCTGTCTAGGAAAACTGCATGTAAATAACCAGATGTGCTAGGATAGGAAGGCTATTGCATAACAACCATGGGAGCCTTAATGGCTATAAATGATGAAGGGCCTGAGTTTTACATACTAACTAAAACATGGCATCTCTGGTAATGCAGTGCTCCTTACTACTCTCCTAGGGTAGTGAGGTCAGAGAGGAAGAGCGTTGCCACTTAAATCCGCAGCACTGTAACAGTAACTGGTGTATTCCTAGAGTGCTCTCACGAGTACAAGCTGCCATGATCCTTCCCAGCTTGTGAAAGCTGCAAACATAGGCTAGAGTAGTTCACTAAACTTCCCTGTCAAATTCAGAAGTCAAATTCACCTAGGAGTTCGTTGAGTGTACGTTCCCATACTTAATCTTGGCTTGGTGTAGTTGTATGCACAAAGCAAGTTTCCATATGTATCGTGATGGTAGGAAGGGGTTTCAGCAGCCTCTTTACTGCCTTGGAAATGGAACAGGTCTGCCTGGACCGTATAAACTATCAATGGACTAGAGTACTTAAGTCCCAAGCACCATGTTTGCACTAAGGTGAGATAAGGAAGGGAAGATAGCCATGCTCTGCACAGAAGCTATCATGGTGAGAATAAGGAAAAGAGGCAACAATCTATATTGCTTTCAACATAAACACCAATGGAGGCACCATGGAGAGTGTCATCTCTAGAAGCAGGCTGCAGATTATCTGACATACTCCAGCATTTTGCTATTAGAAGGGAAAATATCGCTCCCCCTCCATGTCCACAGCAGCAGGTCAGGCCAAACCTTCCATCCTCCTTAGCTATCTTCAGCCACCTTCATTGTCTCTCACTATCTCCAACTGCCTCTGTATTCAGACAGTAGTTCATACTGGCAGATGCACTACCCAGATGTGAGGTTGAGTTATTCTGTATTACACACACTACCTCCTCTGCTGCAAATGCACGAGTTAGCAGCAGTGCATACCAGACCAGCAGAATCCTGCATCTGGCATGAACGAGTCTAGTCACCTTCATAGTGACTTGTTGGATGGAGAGAGGGAGGAAAGAATTCAAACACCAAAGGTTGTAGGCAGGAAACTGAGTTTTATTTAAATACTACTTATGAATTACTTGTCCATCTGCGAGCAAAGGATGCTGTACTCCTCTGGACTTACAGCATAGTGTGATAGAGCATTTAGAAATTCCTCCAGCGGGCAGAGACCTGCTCTGCATCCTCTCACCAATTGTTCCTGTAGGGGGACAATCAAGTTCACACACATTTAATAAATAACAAATTCTTATGTTGCCAAAACCCCTTTTGTATGATGTCAAACAGGTGAAGTTGAGGCAGAGGTTAAAGAACTTTGCCAAAAGGTCCAACTGAATCAGTGGCCAGGCCAGAAAGATAATTAGGTTCCTGCCTACCCATCTTGTGGCTGAGTATTTTATCATGTTCCCTCTGACAGTGCAATCAAAATCTGTCTCATTCCACAATTTAGTGTGCTGGAAATCTGCTGCAAGACCTCTATCTAGCCAACTGCATAGCAGAGCCACCATTGAGTCCTTACCTCTCCATGGTAAGACAGATGTACAAACCATTCTTTGGATTGCTGATGCTGATACAGTTCCACTGTCACATCTGCAGCATAGGGTGGCCACTTGTGATCAAAGATCCCCAGTGCCATCAACAGAGGGATGAGGGTAACGTCATGAGCAGCATAGAGAATGAGCTTTCTGGGGGAGGGAAAGATTTTGCATTTATTTCTCTGGATATATAGCTACCACCCGCATGCCTTTGCTAATGATGGATTAGCTTTTAAAACTCAGATAATAGTTACATACACCGCTGTTCCTTTACTCATACACACTCGATGTCTATGTGAATTGGCTCTTTACATGTGCAGCTAGTCACTGCTGGTAGCTAGAGACAATTATATTGTCCTGTACCTGGCCTCTGTAGCAGGAGATGATGGATACATTGCTTTCATTATATTCTCATGTACTGCATAGAGAAGAGGACCAACACACATCTGGAGAACCTCTCTAGAACAGATGGAATTGGAAATTAGCCTGAACAAAAAACTGTGGTCCACACAAAGAAAAAGTTGGAGAACGCTTGATCTGTCCCTTATTTCACTTCCCCGTTTTGTTTGCTCTGATATACGGATACACACAATCTAGGGGTTGTGACCCGTACTGGTGTCAAGACTATACCCTCCACTTCTGTATGACTTGAAGGAAAGGGAGAATCCCTGAAACATTTTTGTTTCAATGCAGGGCCAACATGTTGAGAACCACAGCCCTAATAAAAAGGAAAGCGTCCCCATCACCAGAGAAGAGCTGCTGGGCATTGCAGCTGGGGGCTGTTGTTTGTTTTGTTTTTTTTTAAAAGGAAAAAATATCGTTTCCTTTGGCAATAAGTTAGCCTCCTATCACCTTTTACGAACAATTGTGAAACAGTTGCTCAGCTGTGCATATCAGCTGATTTGTTCTGCAAGTCATGTGCTGCAGACCTAGAAGGTGCTCTTCCCACTAGTATCAACCACTCTCTTTGCAGCCCTGCTGTGCGTGACAGGTGATGCACCACTGGGATAATTCTCTGCCTGGTGGAAATCAGATTCCACGAGTCTGGAATGACATCCTGCAAAAGGGATTCTTTGCTCATCCAGCCCCAGTCTCCCCGCTTCCCCCTTCAACCTAGTGAAGTGCAGAACTGTCCTTCAGGCCGGGGGCTGGAGCTATGAGACATCACCTTGAATTATGTTCCAGGATGTAAATCATTGAGTCGATGGATCGACGCTCAATCGTTTTCAGGAAGTTCTTCAGCACGGGGCAGCTGGGCAAGTCATGTACCTGAAAGAACATGTGGAGCATAAGAGCCAGCATGCAGCCACCCAAAAGCAGGTACCGATGACACATACACACTCACACCTACATACAGGTGTTCATGGGCTAAGTTTCACAATATGCACACTCCACAGGTCTGCACTTACTATAGGAAACTAACTTGTGATGGGTGTTGCAGGTTTTTTTTTGGGGGGGGGGCATTTAATATAAGGAGCTGGCCCTTATACCAACTGCAAGGTTTATATATATATTTCCTCTTAAGCTTTCATGCACATAAAGAGCACTAAACGTGCTCTTAACACCTATGATGGAGATACAGCGCTATTCTCCTGACAGCCAGACCAGCTGAATCCTATTAGTTCCAATGTAGAATAGGGATATAAAAAGGATTTTGAACCTCTCTCTTTGAGACAGGGAAATTTGAGCAAAGACAGAATCCTGCAAGAAAAAGCCCTGGAACCAGCCAAACTCAAGAGGAAGGACAGGTCAAAGTTTGTGTCAGTTAACAATAAAGGCAAACCTCAGGAAGGCAGTAAATTTGGATCATGTGTACTGTGGTAGGAGCCAGGTGGAAATGCCGCCTGCCTGTAGGCCCAGTTCTTGGCATGCTGATCAGAGCTAGGTAAATAATAGTAGGAAAAAACTTTGCAAATATATAGCTCAATATTTGAATTATTTACTGAGATTTGTAAGCTGAGTGAAGGAAGAAAAATGTTTCTTGAATAACTTATGGCGGGGTGGACGAGAACTTGCCATTTAAATAAATGTTTATTATATAAACCGCATGCCGCCAACTCTTGTTGGTTAGAGAAGAGGGTGCTCTGAACCTTGCTTCATATTAAGACAATCTTCCTCAGGCTGCTACTTTCGAAGAGTCGCATCCAGCCAACTGGGCTGCACGGGCAGATGCCTGTGGAATGCCACTGACTTTAGGGGGCTCTGCACATGCGCAGGGGTCTACCTCTGTGGATCATCTTGCAGGATAGGGGCCTGACATTGCTGCAATTATGTCCAACCTCACCAGCTCAGCAAAGATGTTGTCGAGTAGAAGAAAAAAATCCACAGACTTCTCACTGTCGATCCCCATCTCCTCTCGAATCATTTTCAGATCATCAGAGATGCCCGGCTGCAACAAGACACTTTCCATTTTACCCCTGTCAAGAAAGAGGAGGCTTTTTAGATCCTCAGGCACGCTGGCAAGAGCAACAAGATAGCCGCAAGAGAACCTCCCTGCTCGTTGGGTAGGGCTGTCTTCCAGGAGTGCGAGGGAAGAGAATGGAAACCGCTCAGTGCTGGATGGTGTCCCAGCATTTGGAATGCTGACACTAGAAGTGACAGATTCTCTGTCTGAGCTGATGCCAAGATTTTAGGACTCTAACCTGAGGAGGAGATGTTAATTCCAAGGAGGAAATCTAAATGAGACACAAGCATTTCAAAAGAAAAGGACACTCTCAGCAATGATTACATAGCAATTAATAGTCGGTGTCACTGGAACTCAGCCCACCTGTACCGCCAGGGAGCACTACTTTGCCAAGCTTGCCTCAAAAAGAATGAGCAGTGAAAAAACCCTGGACTGACGCCTACATTTGTTGTATTTATTATAGGGGCAATGCAGAGTGATGCCATTAGCTAACTTGGCCTTTAGCCCCTCTTTTCAATTCTTTTTAAACTTTGCCAAACTTCACCCAATTGGGCTGTAAATGTCCATGCTGGATCTTTGCCTCAGTCTGAATGGGGGGGGGGGGGAGGGTGTTTCAGCAAAAACTCTTCAGCCTTTTCCCAGAATTAAATTGGGGGGAAAACAGCTTTATCAGTGTTGAAAGAAACAGACTTTTTTCTTGTTAACAGTTCTAACCCCTCACAAACCCATCCCTATTTGGCAATCCTCCCAAAAATTTTACACATATGCAATTGTTGGGTGCTTGCTCCTTAGTGGTGTGAATGTCCTAGCTGCAGTGTGCATGTTCTCAGTCCTCACTGAGATGCCTGCAGCAGTCAGCCAGCTTGCCTGTCCACTGCTTACCCCATCAAAATACACCCTACATTGCAAAGCCAAGCATTCAGTTTTCATACACCAAAATTAAGGTTGCCTCTTTGTGTGAGAGAATTCTGAGAGTCTCTACTGGGATGTGGACAAAAGTGTGTCATGTAATCCAAGACAAGCGCAGTACATATGTGCAAAGGGGACAGCGTTAGATAGCACTGGCAACCTTAAATCCGGCATTTATTAACTTGAGTGCCTGATTTTGCAACCTTAATGTTCTTTTCATGTAGATTTTTATAAGAAATATTTTAAATTCTCAGATAAAAACTTTGTTACAGGTGCTCAGCCTTAACTCCAATCAGTTAAGGGTATAAATATTACACAGATGTTGTAATGATCCCAAAACAAAACACTACACACCCTGGACATTCAGAGTTAAGGTTAAATTTAAAATAAATCCAAACACATTAAAGAATGGAACTGCAGAGTTAAGGCTCCCAAGCAACCTTAACTCTGCCGTGTAGTGATGCTTGTGCTATAACCATACAAGTATGATTTGTGCAGAAGTGTTTGTAGTGATTAGATTAAACTGATCTTTCAAGATCTATTAAATATTTTTTCTCACATAGGGGAAATACTTTATGCAACTGCACAGAGACCAGGAGTACAGCCATTGCAATAGGAAGAATTCAGTGAATGAGGAAAACATGGTGCTTTCAGTTATTAGCAGTGATGTGCCATGATAGGGACCTCAGAAGAAGAGATGTGACTGGGGATTACCTGCTCAAATGCTTCAGGCGCTGGCAGTTCTGGTAATTGGGGTAGAGGATTTCAGTGCTTGCTTCATCAGTGACAATAGTAATGGGTCCTGTGGAATGGACAAGAGGAGGCTTCTGTTATCCCTAGCACAGCTGGGGTTGCCTTATACTAGATCTGCTTTCACCAATACAGGAATACAGAACTGGGCCTTTGTGCAAGACCGTCTCCCCTTAAAGTCAATTTCCTTGTACGAGGTGTCACTTTTGTTTTCATGTCCTTCCAAGGCTCTGCCAATTCTCTTTTTGTTAATCAATATTTACATTGTGGTACCAGCTAGAGACCATTCAGATTGGACCCTCATTGTGCACGGCTGTGGGCATACATTTCATAAATGGCAATCTCTGCCCTAACGAGTTTATTGCTGTAGGAATCTTAACTGAGCCTGTGTGTGTGTGTGGTGGGGGGGGCATTTCCCACTGCTGAGTTTTGTGTGCCACAAAATATATCCCTCCCTGTAACCCATCAAGAGTGTTATGATCTGGTAGGTCACTTTGCTGCTGCCAGGACATTCAAGCCCAGGGACCAAGAGCAAATGAGATGCTCTCAAGACAGTCATATTTCTAGGGCCTGCTCCCTGTGACATTAGTCTCACATTGGTGAGCTTCAGGGTGCAGGTGAAGGTGTTTCTGGATGGTCAAACTTTTAACAGGGCTCAGGACTCTTAGGGGCAGCATGCTCCAGGTTCTCTCAAGAGACATTTCAGACCTGACTATAGTCAGGTCTGAAATGTCTCTTGAGAGAACCTGGAAATGAAGAAATACTCTTCATTTCTCATTGCCTGTTTCTGACACTGGTAAATGCTGCCCTACTCAGTCAAGCTGAGCTTGCAGGGGCAAGGGATCAAGGATGGGCATCAACATGAAGCCAAGGAAGAGACAGAGCAAAAGGCAAACTGACAACTCATGCACTAGGCAGGAGAGCCTAGATGGGAGGGTGGGGGAGGAAAAGCAACAGAAGGGTGGTGGGGAGACAGCAATCTGGGGACCAGAGCAGTTGGGATGTGAGAGGAGAGTGTACCTAGGGTAGATTGGGGCGGAAGCACAGTCAGAAACGACCCCCCCCCACCCATACCTTCTTTATGCTGTTGGAACAGCCCAGCCAGCAGACACCGTGTGGACTCCAGATTGCGAACAATATTAGTGGAACGGACGCTGAAAGAGAGAAGGCAGCTTGTGAAACAGAGTGACACGGTCTTCCTCCTGTAAACAAGACCACATCCAAGAACAATCTGTTGGACATGGGACCTTGATCTCCCCACAAATCAGCAGCTCCAGATACCCACTGTCAATATTAGCATCACTGAAATGGCAACTCGGACATCGAAGGCACTAGTGTCTCAAATTTTTGTACTGGTGACCCCTTTCACACAGCAAGCCTCTGAGTGCACATACACACACACACACACACACACACACACCCCCTAAATTAAAAACATTTTTTTTTAAATATTTACCACTATTATAAATACTGGATGTGAAGCAGGGTTTGGGGGTAGAGGCTGACAGCTTGTGACCCCCCCGCCCCCCCATTTGAGAACCCATGCACTAGTGACTCCTGGTACCAAGTTGTACTGGCTATGTGGGAGGAGTCAGAGGCCTGCAGTGAGAGACACTGGGGGAGGAGCATGTCAGTCAGGGAGCCTTCATCCAAGAAGTAAGAGTGAGGGCTGCAGGGGGACGCATGCAGGAATTTTCAGAAACTCACAAGACCTCGGAAGGTTTGAACACCGGAGATAGAAAGTTGATCTTCTCCACATAGCTTCTCCTCAGCCTTTCCCCCAGTTCAAACATCTGCTGCATCCCCACTGCTGTCAGCTGCCCAGCAACGACACCACCCTGGGGAGACAAACAGCAGTCACATTCAGTGCATGGAAAGATAAGAGTCTCGCAAGGGAAACCTGATCAAGGGGAAAGAGTCTCTCACCTTCAGTGTGGTCTTTTTGTATTGATCTTCATAAGGGGAGTGAGGTTTTGGCCCACCAGAGAGGTCAGTTACTGTGTAATCAAACTGGGTTTGAGCAGGGACTTCTAACAGAGTTGGATGCCACTCCACCTGATGCAAAAAACATGAGAGAAATGCTTCATTAGAAAATAATCATCTTCCAATCGCATCAGAACTACTCTGGGCTACACCAAGGCATGGGGGAATACACTGTGCTGCCTCTGTGATAATGAGACAGCGTCAAGTAATATATAGTACATGACTCCATCGTCTCCCGTTATATAACACAGCATCTTGGAACATACAGTGCTAGGACATCTGAGACCCTCCATTATTGAGACATGCAACATGGCCTCTCTATTGCTCCTGAGAACCTCCAGCACTGAGACTGCCATACCCCTCTAACAGCTGAAGAAATAACAGGCGATCACACCTGCTACTAACAGCAAACTGAATTTCTCCTTGAGCTAAATTGTAGAGCTAATACTCTCAGATTCAAGAGCCCTGAAAAGCTGGGTCAGTCACAATGATGCTCAGGTAAGTGGGGCAGTGTAGTGCCTGCTTACTGGAGCAGCCTGCATAGCAAGTGCTCATTGCCCTGAAACAGCTCTCTGTGTCTGAGTACTGGGAGTCGAGCACTTGGTTAAAGCGGCAAGTAGAAACGGTTTTGCCACTTCAGTGGCAGGCTGCTGCTGTACTGGCAACTAATGGATAGGACTCCAGAGGGGGAGCTTGTACTTTTGAATCTGTAGGCTCCCCCAGCCAGATTTCTTACAAACATTACATTCCCTCTATTGTATTCAGCACAACAGCCAGCAATTCAGTAGGTAAAAGCTGGATCTAGCTAATTTTTGTTCCCAAATCCCAGTGTCTTATCCTGGTTACCCTATTTAAAGGTACACTCTAGTGACAACGCTCCTGAAAAACCAGATGCATGTAGACAAAAATGGCCTAAAAAACCCAAGTCGTTACCCTAGATCTAGCCATTTTTTATTTCAAGCCCTAAATTTGTACCCCCTACAATAGAAAACCGAAGCCAATACCCATTGTACCAGTACAAAGAAGGCATGGACCCCGATATATCTTGGTTCAAAAGGGCAGCAAAAAATTGGATCTAGCTGGTATTTGGCAAACACTGTAATTTAAATTCGAAGAAGTGAGGTTTTTACCCATGAAAGCTTATGCCCAAATAAATCTGTTAGTCTTTAAGGTGCCACCAGACTCCTTGTTGTTTTTGTAGATACAGACTAACACGGCTACCCCCTGATACTGTAATTTAAAGTGGCTTTGTGCACTTAAACAGATATGCATCTTCTACAGTAACAATGTGTAGTTACATATGTTTGGAGAAAATGTGACATTGTAGGGGGGAGGGATAGCTCAGTGGTTTGAGTATTGGCCTGCTAAACCCAGGGTTGTGAGTTC